TTTCAGGATGAAGGTCTTGACTGGTTTTAACCATACAGTACAAGAGAGCTTAGTTATAATTATCTGCGTGGGGGACACAGCACTGCCTTGAAAGTACATTTGCCTGTTGTTTTTCATAGATGGTTCGTTATCGGTGGCTTGAGGATGAGAGGCAGATAAAGATAAATGAAGACGACAAAGTCCACATGACACCTACACTATCACTGCCATGATGATTGCTTTGAGGGAAGGGGAGAGAAACTCTTGGGAACTGGCATAGAGTCTCTGAGAATCAGGCTAACTGGGGTCCCAGACCCCTACGTCGAAGGTGTTAGAAATTTGTGTGTGTTCTGAGATAGTTTTTATCAGTCCTGACTTTGCATGTCTCTGAAAGAGATGGCCTGTCTCAGCAAGTGCCAAGTGTCAGGCTGCCTGGGGTAATGAGCACTCAGTGTGTTCTCTTGGACACGGATGTCCTGGAAGAATGCTTTGCTTCTCTTTGCTCTTTTAGGCCAAGGCTGCCGGTGACGATGAGGCCATGTTCATAGATGAAAACTTCTGCACTGCCCTGGAGTACGGACTGCCCCCCACTGCTGGCTGGGGCATGGGCATCGACCGCCTCACCATGTTTCTGACAGACTCCAATAACATCAAGGTACACAGCAGCCCCCCACAGTGCACACCGCCCTGAAGTTGCGCTGTGCTGGAGGTGGGGCATTCGCAGCCTGGCAAATAAAGGGCTTTGGGCTTGCAGAGGAATGGGCACAGGAGTAACACACCACCTCACGGGACAAGCGTTGGTGTGGTGTCTGACTCCTGTCTAGGCTTGGAGACTGTGAACTGATTGCATTTCTTGAGGATCTAGGAAGTGCTAAACTTTCCACATGCATTGTCTTCTTTAACTTAAGTCAGCCCCATGAGATGTGGCAACTCTTGTTACCCCATTTTTATGAGTCAGGACATCCAGTTTCAGTGGAGCAAGGGTTATTCATTGTTTTAATACAGTGCCCCAGACACCACTGTGTGCTGTTCTTTTCCATCCTCTATACTTGGGAAGGGACTAAGTCGAAATGAAAGAACACCAGCTGCCTTTACAGCCAGGATGTACAGACTGTGGGTTTGGGTGGTAACAACAGAGGCAAAAGCAATGGGTGGGTTGCTATGAAAATGTGCTGAGTACTTCGCTACAGATGCGTTCTTATCTCCGCAGGAAGTGCTTCTGTTTCCTGCCATGAAACCTGAAGACAAGAAGGAGAGTGTAGCAGCCACTGATACCCTAGAAAGCAGCCCAGTTGGTACATCTGTCTAGAAAATAATAAACTACAAACAGAACAACTCAGGCATCTTTGCATTTCTGCGAAACAGCAAGGAATTCCTGTGCGCTGCCATCCATCGTTCCACAGTTCAGCTGGCACCAGAAGAGAGAAGAGGAATTCAGAATTCCTTTTTACTCCTTGTTACCAAATAAACCGTTTGTCTCTTCTGTTTACCTTTGGAATATCCGCTTTTTCCCTGATTGCTAGCCTATTAATATCTGCTTTGTGCAGATGTTCTAAGAAGTGGGGGACACAGCAGAGAACAAAAACCCAAGTCACTGCTTTCATGCGATGCACATTCTTTCTTTGGAGTTGAGTAGGGAGGTGAAGAAAAGAAACAAGTCAGTACATACTCTGTTGGTATTCTAAGAAAAGTAGAGCCAGGTCTGGGGCCAGGGTGGATGGGACAAGCGCTGGTGTAACTGCAGTAGTGGGAAGACCTCTGTGAGGGGACATTTAAGTGGCAGACTGGAGACAGCCAGGGAGTGTGTGGGAAAAGGGTGACCCAAGTAGAGGACCACATTTTGGAGGAACAATAAAGGGTTGGGATGACTGAAGCCAAGTGAGTGATGGTCAGTGATGGACTGGGCTCACACAGAGGGGTGTTTGACAGTGAGTGAAGCCACTGGAGGATTTTAAGCAGAAGAAGTGATTTTGTTTTTGTTTTAAGTAATTATTCTAGTTAGTACGTGGAGGACAGGAGTGAAACCGGAGACCAGGTGGGCTGGGGAGATGGCTTGGCTGGGGCGGTAGCGGTGGAAGTGATTGTAAGTGGTTGGATTGCCTATGTCCCTAAGGGCAACAGAACTTGGTCATGGAATATGAGTTGGGCGGGGGTGGGGGAGTGATTCCAAGGTTTTGGGCCTGTGCAGCTGGAAAGCCAGAGGTGCCATTTACTGATGGAAAAACAAGAATATATTTGAGAGGAAAGGCTGAGAATTTTGTTTTGGACATACTTCCCATGCTTGTTGAGACATCCAGGTGGAAATAATAATATGTACAATAGAATATGGAGTGGTAAGTCAAGTTTTCTCATGATATTGCACCTCAGTTGAACAGGGCTCAGAGTGTGACAGGTTGCGGCTGAGGTCCTGTTGTAATGGAGCCCCTATTTCCAGACTCAGGCGGCGGGGTGGGGGGGGGGACTTTTATTCAAATGAGTCACAACAAAGAACTTACCCTTTGCACCTCAGCCAAACCTCTGCAAGCACCCCGTGTGGGAGTTGCCACCTCTCACACAACAGGCTTCCACTTGTGTAATGCAAAATGATCTGAACCTGCTGAGTCACCTAACTGGGAGCTACTTGATGGCGGTGAGGGGGCGGGTGGGACACGGACTGAGCCTGGTATTAATCAGGAGATGAAGAAACACTTCATATAGCACACTTCTGCAAGGTAGCGGTGACTAAGGTGGAGGAATCATCTCCCCAAAGGAAAGGGTAGAAGGTCAAGACCAGATGAGGGCCTGGACTTCAGGCAGTAATGTCAGTGGAGACCACTGGGAAAGTGGAAATGGATGGGGTCACACATGATCTGAAGATCTGTTGAGTAGGAGGCCAGAGAGAAAAGGCAGCTATTTCTCCTTAAGTAGGTTGGGGATCGAGGAACTGCATTTACAACTTCTATGCCGGGTTTGGCAAGAAAAAGGAATGAAAGTAGAATGAAAGAAGGGCTGGCGCCGCGGCTCACTTGGGTAATCATCTGCCTGCGGCGCCGGCACACCGGGTTCTAGTCCCGGTCAGGGCAGCGGATTCTGTCCTGGTTGCCCCTCTTCCAGGCCAGCTCTCTGCTGTGGCCCGGGAGTGCAGTGGAGGATGGCCCAAGTGCTTGGGTCCTGCACCCGCATGGGAGACCAGGAGGAAGCACCTGGCTCCTGGCTTCGGATCAGCGCAGCGCGCGCCAGCCATGGCAGCCATTTGGGAGAACCAATGGAAGACCTTTCTCTCTGTCTCTCTCTCACTGTCTAACTCTGCCTGTCAAAAAAAAAAAAAGAAAGTTAGAAGGAAGGATGATAAAGTCCTCATTATTTCCTCAAAATATTGAAGGCTCATAATTTGCCATGCTCTACTGGAATGAACGGAATCAGACATGTTCCCAAGCTTGCAGAGAAAAGTGCTGGGAAGCCCTTGAATTTAAGCGGACGGATTATCTTGTCATTTGAAAATTGCTGTCTGGGGCTGATGCTGTGTCCTAACAGGTAAAGCTACTGCCTGCAGTGCCGGCATCCCATATGGACACTGGTTCGAGTCCTGGCTGCTCCACTTCCTTCTGGGGAGTGAATACCAGACAGAAGACTGACTCTTTCTTTCTCTGCCTCTGCATCCCTGTAACTCTCTGCCTTTCAAATAAATAAATCTTTTAGAAAAAAAAGTCTGCTGTGAGAGGAAGTGGAGTTAGGAAAGAAAAGATGAAAGTAGCAATCAGTTCAACATGGGTCAAAGTGGCTTGAATTAGCTAGCTGCCATAGGAGTAGATGGGTTCAAGAGATGGGAAGTAAAACATACAGGACTTGGTAATGAGTGGTGGTGTGAGGGTTAGGGATGGGAAATGACATGGATTGATAGTAGAACCAGTCCTGAGATAAGGAACCCTGGACCATCATACCCTCATGCCTACGTCACCAGGATCAGTGTTAGCACCGAGGAGGGATTCTGTTGTGGATGGAGGATGCTAATCCTTAACAGTGGGTTAAAGCACTGCTTGGGATTCCTGCCTAGGACAGAGTCCTGCTTCCAACCCGGCTTCCTGCTATGGGCACCCTAGGGAGCAGGAGACGTCTCAGTACCTGGGTTCCTGCCACCCATGTGGGAGACCTGGATGGAGCTGCTGGCTCCTGGCTTCAGGCTAACCAAGCTCTGGCTGTTGTGGGCATTTGGGGAGTGAACCAGCACGTGGAAAATCTGTTCTGCCTTTTCAGAGACAGACTTGGGAGGACCAGGAATGAGGAGCAAGCAGATCTTTAACCTTGGAGTAGGGCCACGGCCCTTTTCCTCTGTAATAACGAGAAGGATGGAGTTAAGAACTTTACTCTGTCTCCTCTTAACTTTTGGGAGATAATAAGAAAACTGAACTGTCTCTTCTTTAGCAATTGAGGTGAACAACTGCTGATGAGTGGAGTTTCCAGAACTATCCCAGAGTGCTATACCACCCATTCCTGGAAATCTGAAGGCATTACTCCTGTGCTTCTGCCACAGTAGCTACATGTGGCGATTGACGGCTTGAAATGTGGCTGATCTGAATCCAGATGTAAAATATACACCAGATGTCTTAAACACAGGATAGAAAAAAACAATGTAAAATACCTCAGTATTTCTTAAAACACTGGTTACACGTTGAAATGAGATTTTTATGTATATATATATATATGTCTAAGTAAAATAAATGAGCAAAATTAATTTCACGTATTTCTTTTGAACATCTTTTGGGTTACCAGAAATTTTTAAATTACAAAATGACTTATTATTTCTATTGTGCGGCACTGTTTCGAAAGTTCAGAGTAGTGTTACTAGATACATCATTCCATTTGAAACTACCTCTAACCCGACAGGCGGCCCCTCAGCCTGTTGTGAGCATCGCAAAATACACCACCAAGAGGATCCCAGACTCGGATCCAGTACCGCGGCCTTGGCTCCGCCCCCACCGAAGACTACAAGGGCCGGCGTGCACTGCGCGCGCCCGGAAGGGACGGCCTCTTTGTACGTCACGTCTCCGCGACCCCAGTGTTAGGCTGGTTCCCTCGGCGTGGAGGTGGGAGGGCGTTTTGTGTGTTGGGGTAGCGGGTCCCGGCCCCGAGTCAGGAACCTGTGGTATGACTTTGCCGAGCCCATTTCATGTGGGAAAATGATGTCAGGACTTTCCCGGACGCGTGTCTCGTGGGAAAGTTCCCTCCGTCCCCGGAAGTGCCAGCAGCCACCGCGTGCGTGGAGTGCTCTGGCGGCCAGCGCTTGCCGCGGGACCCCGTGAGTCGGGCGCTCACGTTGTCCCCAGCCCGCTCCCTTAGTGCCCCGTCTGGCTTTTCTCCTTGTTGGAGGGCCCGCCCCGAGCTCGCGAGTGGCCAAGAGGGCTGTGCCTCGGGGAGCCCCGCTAAAGCCGCGGTTCCGCCTGGCCGCCGACTTGACTTTTCTGGTCAGGGCTGTTGGCACTGCGGTCCTGTGGGCCGACAGGTGCGGTGCTTTCTCTGGAGAAGTCCCTCAGGATCTAGGAGGGAGCGCAGGCTTGGGTTCTGATGGACTCGGGATGGCAGAAACAGGATTCGTTCATGGCAATAGCTGCATCCTCCTTCAGTCGACTGCCTGAACGAGATGACTGCTTCGGGCTGCTTCGTGGCAGGGAGTCCTTTCTCCTGGGAGAGTCGGCCTTGCTGGGCTGCTAGTTGATAGCGTGCGTGGTGCTTCTCTGGTTTAGTATCTGGTTGGTGGCCGGATACCTGCCCTCGTTAAAATTCACCGCTTGGGGGTGCCTCCCAGAATGTTTTTTGTTTGTTCTAAGAGATGCAAGACGACTTCCGGTTCTCTGATTTTGAAGTCACAGTTTCTGTCAGTTCCTGCCAGATTTTTGTTTTAAATCCCCATGGTCTTAGTATTACCGTTTACTGCAGTTTCAGGCCTGCACATTGTAATGCACGGGTCTCAGTGTGGAAGGGTCTTTCAAAAGTGACGTGCATTGAGGTCTGCAAACTTTTTTTTTTTGGTTACAGTGCTTAGCTCTGCCCATTGCCACATGATCTCATCTTCTACCAAGAGGCTTTGGATATAATTGAGACCACATGAGGTTAGGATGAGTCTAGTGAGTGGTGATACAGAGCCAGGAGTGGGAGAGTTTCCAGTAAAGTGTCCTAAGCCTCTTTAAGGTCTGATCTGCCTAATTTGGTTTTTTTTTTTTAATTCATGTTTCTAATTTGCCAGTTATAGTCCTTTTGCTCTGCCCTCCCACCACCACCAAGTACCTCAAAGTAAATTAAATGTTATTTTTGTCATGTTAATCACAGTTGATGTTAATTACTCAACATCATAGAATTTGCTGTTATTTTTTAATCTTCACAAGAACTCCAATAGATTAGATATTATTACTATTAGATTATTATTTTTTTTGAGAGACAGAGCTTCTGTATACAGGTTCATTTTAAATGCCCACAAAGGCTGGGCATAGGCTGGGCTGAAGCTGGGAGTTGAGAACTCAATCCTGGTCTCCCGTGTAGGTGGCAAGACCTAACTACTTCAGTCATCACCACTGCCTTCCAGGTCTGCGTTAGCAGGAGCTGGAGTCAGGAGCCAGAACCCAAATCCAGGTTCTCCATTTTGGGAAGTGGGCATCCTGTCAGGCTAACTGCTAGACTGGACGCCCACCCCAGCCATATTTAAACAGATGTAGAGTAGTTGGTAATCAAGGTCACATAGGGTTAATTAGTGGCAGAACTAGAATTAGGCCCCAGAAGGGTGACTCGAAAGCCCATACCCTTAAGCATGACTCCTGTGAAAAGGAGAACACTTGACCTGTAAGGAACTTCTTGGTTGGAATTTATTAGAGGGAGACAGAGAAAACCACTCTTCCATAGGGAAAGGAGAGAAAGTGCCTCAAAAGGAGGGTAGAAAAGGACAACTATTCGTGAAGAAAAACCTTGGATGGTGAGGGTCTATCTGAAGCAAGCTGAAGTCTGCAACTCTGTGTTTGCTCTTTCCCAAGCGTGGGGGTGCTTCCTTCTCATGCCCTTGTGTAGAGTAAGATTCAGATTTGATACAGATTTGTCAGCTATCTAACATTTTTAAAAATCTTGAAAAAATGAGGTGCCTCCTGGGGTTGATGGGATTTAGGGCTTCTTTGCTTTTTCATTAAAGATGGAAAGGTGACAGGAAGGTAGTGGAAAATGATTCCATGGAGGTGAAGGTAGAGGACACTCAATCAGAACAGTCGGGCTGCATTTGAAAGACTGTCGAAGCCCTGGTGTGAGAGCAGCATCTTCCACTGGTTCCCCTTTCAGTACTTCTGATGGTTGTGACTCCTGATCACACTGGTTCCCCTTTCAGTACTTCTGATGGTTGTGACTCCTGATCAAGGCCTCAGTACCAACTCTGACCATGTGGACCGCTGACGAGATTGCTCAGCTATGCTATGAGCACTATGGGGTCAGGCTGCCCAAGCAGGGGAAACCTGAGCCAAATCGCGAGTGGACGTTGTTGGCAGCCATAGTGAAGATACAGTCTGCAGCTGGCCAGGCCTGTGACACCCCTGGTAAACCAGCGCAAGGTGAGATCTGTTCTCCTTGGACCTCTCCGTCTGTCTGTCAGTGATGGTAGAATTATGCACTACTGTACAGGAACAGTTGTGGGCAGGATGTTGATTACAACATTAGGACCGTTTCCCTGCTGTCTGCCAGGTGCCCCGGGACCACCATGCTGGAACTGCAGCCCTGTTGTGTCTACCGGAGGAATATGTAGACATAAGCTGAATGCTGGGGAATATTTAGCCTCCGAGAGCTCACTTAATGATTTGTTTTTTGTTTTTTTTTTTTTTTTTTCCTTCAGTGACAAAGGAAGTTGTCTCAATGGGAACAGGAACGAAGTGCATAGGCCAGTCCAAAATGAGAAAGAGCGGTAAGCACAGGAGGGGATCTAAGCAAACACTGTCTCTCTGGGAGCCTTAGAAACCAGTGTCCAGGTTAACCTTTTCACTTTGGGAAAAGGGGCCCTATTGGTTAGGGTGACTGACATTGCATTTCCTACTGACTGTTTTTCCAATTGGAATGACAGTACTCATTTCCAGAATGAAACTCCACCAGCAAAGCAAAGAGCTCTAGGAACAGGCCTCCTGAATGAACTGAAGCTAGCTGTGTTGGGTCTGGAAGACTTTAGGATCTATAGCAAGTAGAGGATGCAAATTGAGTGAATTCAAAACCCCAGAAAGGAAGGGAATCTGAAATTAAATGGAGCTTTGGGCACCAACAAGAATGTGGAAATTTCTTAGGGATCCTGGATCTTGACTCTGCTTCCTGTTGTCAGCTTCCTTCATTTCCCTTAGCCTTGTCTCCTGTATATGAGGGAGCTGTTTCAAGAACACAGTAGCCTGAATTAAATGGAATTTTATCCCCATGAGCAGGAGTTGCTACCAGGGTACAAACGATCTGGACTTCACTCTTTCAGATCTTTCTGTAAATCAGTGGTTCTCAACTGAAAATAAGTCAGCACACCATGAGATGTTTTGGAATGTCTAGAAACATTTTTGTCACAAGTTGGGGGGAGGGAAGTACTGTTGGCATCTCATGTGTAGAGGCCAGCAATGCTGTTCAGTGTCCTGAAACACATGGAATAGACCCCACAACGAAGAACATTCTGTCCTAAAATATCTGCAGGGCTGAGTTACACCCTGCTGTAGACTCAGTGCCAGTGATGATCGCTACACTTCTGGCCGAGGCCTCTGGTAGCTATCTGGCCATCGTGGGTGCTGGGAGGCCTGTTTTGTTGTGCGTCTAGAAACAGGGCCTGTCCAGGTCCCACTTGTCTTCACCGTGTGTCTTGTCTTTGCCCCAGGAGACATCCTCAATGATAGCCATGCGGAAATCATAGCCAAAAGGAGTTTCCAGAGGTAAAGCTGCATCCCGTGAGAATCCAGTTCAGCATGTCTTGGGTGAGGCCACAAAACCTGCATTGCTAATAAGTACCCAGGTAGTACAGATTAAGTACTCTGTGAACTTCACTTCTAATAATGCTGTGGCTTAGGCTAGTGCTTCTCAAACTTGAGTGTATCATAGAATCACCTGGCAGGTCCTTTACACTCCAGATTTCTGGGTCCATTTCCATGGATTCTGAGTCAGCAGATCCAGGGTGGAGCCTGAGAAATTGCGTTTCTGCCAAATTCCCAGGTGACGCTGATGCTGCAGGTAGAGGGCCCACACTTTGAGAATCATTGGTCGAAATCATGCTCATAGTTTCAGATCACTGCCTGTCCCATTGAGCTGCAGTCACTCAGTCATCAGTTCTTCATTTTCATCTTGTCGTGCAACTTCAGGTATCTTCTCTATCAGCTGCACATGGCAGCCGCAATGGAAGAGGGGAGTATCTTTGTCCCAGGAACGCAGAGAGGACTGTGGAAACTCAGACCAGACCTCTCTTTTGTGTTTTTCTCCAGCCACACGCCCTGTAAGTATAATCAGGCCTTTGGATTAATATTGCGTCATCTATTTTTTATGTTTGTCTTATCCATAGATGCATTTCTCGAAGAAAGAAAAGAAAAACCACTCTGGCTGAAGTGTAGCTGCAGCTAGTGACAGGGCCTTTTTGGGGACGTAGCCAGTGTACCTAATCGCTTCTCCACTGAAGGGAAGGCACAGGGCAACGCAGAGGGTGCAGAGTCTTGATGCTGTTACTCAGTTCTCACAGTCAGGACTGGGAAGTCTAAGGCTGAAACCTGGCAGTATGTGAAGCCAAGAGCAAGCATCTCATTCCAGAATCCTATTACAGTGACTTGTCCTGAAACTTATTCACTCACTCATTAAAAAATATTTTCTACTACTTGTCAGGTACAGTATGACATACTGGATATACAGCAGTGAATGAGACTAGCACATTGCTTACCTTTATAGAGACTTTTAGGGAATGTGGATAGCCACAAAGTTAATTCTGATGAGTTATAAGAGGATGGTATTAGAGTTGTTTAAGGCAAGAGAGTCAGATCTACTCAAGAGGATCAATTCTATCCTGTTTTTCAGTTCTGTTCCCTGTTTTCCTTTCTTGAAAATTGAAAATAATCCCCACCTTTTACAGATAACAACTCAGGAATGGCTGTAATATTTCCTCACTTAAAAACTTTGAAATAAGGATATAAGATTATATTAAACTTTAAAACTAATACATGTAATTAGAACAGAGATAAATATTCACTATAAAGAAAGAGAATAGGGGCTAGTACTGTGGCTTAGTGAGTAAAGCTGCCGCTGCAGTGCAGGCATCCCATATTGGGGCCAGTTCGAGTCTTGGCTGCTCCACTTATATACAGCTCTCTGCTAATGCACTTAAGAAAGTAGCAGAGGATGGCCCAAGTCTAGAGACCCATGTGGGAGACCTGGAAGAAGCTTCTGGCTCCTGGCTTCAGATCAGCCCACCCTGGCCTTTGTGGCCATTTGGGAAGTGAACCAGTGGATGGAATTTCTCTCTGTCTCTGTCTCTCCCTCTCTAGAATTCTACCTTTGAAAATAAATAAATAATTCTTAAAAAGAATAACTGTCAAGATTTGATGGTAACTAAAATTGAAAATAATATCATAGCTTAAGAAAGAAGAAATACGAGAAAGAATTGGTTCAGAGTTGAAGGCCAGAAGAATGATGGAGGTAGACAGGGCTCTTCCTTGCCCCATTCCTAGTAGTGGGTGCCCTGCGCCAAACAGATGGATGCTTCCTAGTCAGTGCTTCTGAAACTGTGAAATGCACAGATCACACTGGGGTCTTGTTACAGCGCAGACTCAGATTCAGTGAGTCTTGAGTGAGGCCTCAGGTTACGCATTTCTAACCAACTTCCAGGTGTTTTCAGTGATGTTGGTCTGTGGGCCACACTTTGCATAGCCAGGTGGTCCCACAGGTCAGCATCATCTTGTGGATTTAGTGCATCTGGGATCACAGCCTGATGGCCTAAGTAGACTAAAAGTAGTTGCCCACGGACCTGCTGATCTGAGGAAGTTCCTGGTAAAACAAGAAAAATCAAGACTACATGGTAAGTTTTTCAACATTAATTTCCTTTACTTTAAAGGTTATGAAATTTTTCTTTTTCAAATGGGATTAATTAGTACTTTTATTTATTTATTTTATTTTTTTGACAGGCAGAGTGGACAGTGAGAGAGACAGAGACAAAGGTCTTCCTTTTTCCGTTGTTTCACCCCCCAATGGCCGCTGTGGCCGGTGCACCCCACTGATCCGTAGCCAGGAGCCAGGTGTTTCTCCTGGTCTCCCTTGCAGGTGCAGGGCCCAAGCACTTGGGCCATCTTCCACTGCACTCCCTGGTCACAGCAGAGAGCTAGAATGGAAGAGGAGCAACCGGGACAGAATCCGGCGCCCCGACCAGGACTAGAACCCGGGGTGCTGGCGCCGCAGGCGGAGGATTAGCCTAGTGAGCCGTGGCGCCAGCCTAGTTGGTACTTTTGAAAAAAGAATTATTTATTTGAAAGGCAGAGAGAAAGAGGGAGAGACAGAAAAAGAACAAGATCTTGCATCTACTGGTTCACTCCCTAGATGGCCACAATAACCAGGTCTGAGCCAGGCCAAAGCCGGAGTCTGGAACTCATCTGGGTCTCCCACGTGGGTGTCAGGGGCCCAAGTTGGACTATCTTTTGCTGGATTTCTAGGTGCATTAGCAGGGAGCTGAACAGGAAGCGGATGTGCTGGGACTTGAGCCAGCACTCCAGTAGATGCTGGCATTGCAAGTAATGGCTTAACTGGCTGCACCATAATACTGGTCCCTAATGGGACTTTTGAAAATCTCAACTTGATATAATAAAAAATTGGCAGCCTTCTCTTGGTCTTAAAAACTTCTGGAAATTTTGGTGGTCCATGAAACCAAAATCTGAAACCACTGATGTGGCTCCCTTGAGGGATCTTTTAATTTAGGCTGTCCCTGTGGAAAAAAGCATACTAACTAGAGAATTTGATTTTCTGTTCCCTTAGAATTTACTTTTCATTACTAATTAATAATTTGATGCCTTGATTAGCTACATCAGACTCCCACTTGTGAGTTTTATTGGTGTGAGTCAGCCTCTTGGATTCAGGCACTCTGTCAAGATCTGATCTCCAACCTGTGAAGTGGGAGGTGAGCACCAGCAAACTCTCAGAAGTCACTGTCACTCTGTGAGGTCTCTGGAAGCCAGCCAGCCAGTCTCCTGGCAACACTCCCTCTTCATCTCTTGCCCTTCCCACTCGGAGGTTATAAGGACTAGAGATGTATTATTTACATGCTTTTAAAAGTACCACATCTTAAGTTAGTTTGTGAAGAAACAGCTCGCTTCTCAAGGGAGGATTGTGCTTCACACTATTGTCTGCGTTTCCTTGGCTCACTATAAGCACAGAGTGGATTGGAAGTCTATACCAGCACAGGGAGACACTGGACGTTTTAGAAACACTGGTTTAGACCAGGTTGTATACTTTACTGCAGAGTCTTTTCTGTGAGGATATACATCTTAAAATCTCTAAGATGGGGATATTTGAACACAGTGTTCGCCAAATTTAACCAAGAAATAAACCGTGCGCTTGTGTTTTCCAAGGCATCTTGTTGGATAGGATTCCGCAAAATGCACTTGGGAAAACCTTGCTTCTTAATCAGTGATTCTCAGCTAGGGACAGTTCTGTTCCTGTGGGGACATGTGACACATCTGAAAGTTTTTGTTTATCAGACTTGGGAATGCTCTTGGTATCTCCCGTTAGAGACCAGGAGGCTGCTAAATGTCCTATGATGTACACACGAGCTCCACAGCAAAGAATTATGTGACCCAAATTGTCAAAAAACCTGTCTAATCCAGTGTCTCCTAAACTTCTGTGTAATAAGAATGACGAGGCCGGCGCCGCAGCTCACTAGGCTAATCCTGCCAGTACTCCGGGTTCTAGTCCCGGTTGGGGCGCCGGTTCTGTCCTGGTTGCTCCTCTTCCAGTCCAGCTCTCTGCTGTGGCCCGGGAGGGAAGTGGAGGATGGCCCAAGTGCTTGGCCCTGCACCCACATGGGAGATCAGGAGGAAGCACCTGGCTCCTGGCTTCGGATTGGCGCGGTGCGCCAACTGTAGTGGCCATTTGGGAGATGAACCAATGGAAGGAAGACTTTTCTCTCTGTCTCTCTCTCTCTCACTGTCTAACTCTGCCTGTCAAAAAAAAAAAAAAAAAAAATGACTTGAAATCTTTGTTTAAATATTCAATTTTTTAGACCTCTCTTCTCTAGAAATTCCAGCGTTCTGGGTCCAGGAAAGAATCTGCAGCAAGTGTCCCAGAAGATCGTTACTAGAGAAATGTGTGTGCCCTCTTAACTCATCTTGGGTCTGCTGAGAGAATAGATGGAACTTCATTTACAGCGATTCTCAAACGAGCTTACATCAGAATCTCTCGGACAGCTTGTTAAAACACATGACTGGGCCTCACCTCCACACTTTCTAGTTCAGTGGTCTGTTGTGGATCTCAAAAATGTGTATGTCTAACAGGTTCCCAAGGGTTGCTGATAGGGCTGCTCTAGGGACCTCACTTTGAGAACCACTGGTTTAAGGAGTTCTTTCTCCTGCAGGTGGTGATGCATCCATTATTCCAATGCTTGAGTTTGAAGAACAGCCTTGTTGTCCTATCAGCAGAGATTGGGCCAACAACTCATCATTAGAAGCCAGCGTTAACCCAGAGTCTCCAGAAAATAAAAGGAGATGTGACAGTCCTGACAGTCCTGTATCTAAAAAGATGAGGCTCGAACCTGGAGCTCCCATTAGGGAGGCAGCCAATGGTACAGCTCCCTGTGGCAAGCAGGAAAGTAGCTCATTCCCACCAGGTGTTAGCAGTTCTAATCGCACTGCAGAGAGATCAGCCACTGTCACCGGAATGGACCATAGGGGCGCCAAAGTGGTGGACGTTTACAGAACTGGAGCCAAGTGTGTGCCTGGAGAAGCTGGGGACTCAGGGCAGCCTGGTGCTGCCTATCACCAGGTGGGGCTGCTCCGAGTGAAGCCAGGCCGTGGAGACAGGACATGCTCCATGTCCTGCAGTGACAAGGTCGCCCGATGGAATGTCCTGGGTTGTCAAGGTGCGCTGTTGATGCACTTCCTGGAAGAGCCCATCTACCTGTCAGCTGTGGTCATTGGGAAGTGCCCATACAGCCAGGAAGCCATGCAGAGAGCACTGCTCGGGAGGTAAGAGGACAAGGGGGGAGGGCTCAGCTGGAGGCAGTCTAGCAAGTGGTCTGAGAGGGGCTCCAAAGAGTCTTAAAAGTCTTCAGTATTCTAGCCGGTGCCGCGGCTCACTAGGCTAATCCTCCGCCTAGCGGCGCCGGCACACCGGGTTCTAGTCCCGGTCGGGGCGCCGGATTCTGTCCCGGTTGCCCCTCTTCCAGGCCAGCCCTCTGCTGTGGCCAGGGAGTGCAGTGGAGGATGGCCCAGGTGCTTGGGCCCTGCACCCCATGGGAGACCAGGAAAAGCACCTGGCTCCTGGCTCCTGCCATCGGATCAGCGCGGTGCGCCGGCCGCAGCGCGCCGGCCGCGGCGGCCATTGGAGGGTGAACCAACGGCAAAGGAAGACCTTTCTCTCTGTCTCTCTCTCTCACTGTCCACTCTGCCTGTCAAAAAAAAAAAAAAAAAAAAAAGTCTTCAGTATTCTGATCCAGTTCAGCTTCTAGGAGTCCATCGCAAAGAAAAGAAGGTACTCAGATATTTAGGTTTGTACAAAAATAATGTTAAAAAATGAAAAATGAAGCTTGAAATACCTGGCAGCAGGAAATTAAGTGATTTCGTTTTTTTTAAATCTTATTGATGAACTTTTTAATGTGGAAAGACATCCATAATGTTTCAGGAATGACTTAGAAGATAAAAAATGAGCTCATTCGGATCTGAAAGTATATATGTACAAAGAAAACTGCAGCAGGATGTGCATCACAATATTTATAATGATTTATCTCTAAGGTGTGATATTATGGGCAGTTTTTCTTTGATACTATATTTTCTGATTTTTCTTCAGTGTACTTTTATGACCATTAAATTACATTTAAATTATAAAAATCTCCAAGTATTAGTTTTAACTTTTAAAAAAGATAAAAAAACTAAGGATGACCACACTTATGACTGTTCAAGTAGAGTCTTCTTAGAGGAGGGAGCCAAATCTGTTATGGCTGTGATAAATGAGGGACAGGCAAGGCCATGGCCAGGGGAAGCATGTGGGGCCGCAGCCAACATACTGCCTCTGAAGCAGACTCCAGTAAACAGCCCTAGACTATGACTCAGCAGTTCCATGCCCAGGTACATAGCCAAGAGAAATGAAAACACACAGCCACACAAAAACTTGTACACAGATGTTAATAGCAGCATTACTCACATAGCCAAGAAGTAAACTGACCCAAATGTCCATTACTAGAAGAATGGATAAACAGAATGTAGTATATCCAGACAATAAAATATTCAATTATAAAAAGAACTGAAGTATTGATACACACTGTCACATGAGTGAACTTTAACAATTGGTGCTAGGGGCCAGCTTTGTGACGAAGCATGTAAAGCCTCTGCCTGTGACCTCAGATTCTCATAGTGCCTGCTGGTTCGTGTGCTGGCTGTTCCACTTCGAATCTAGCTCCCTGATAATGGCCTGGGAAAGCAGAGGAAGATGACCCAAGTACCTGGGAATCTGCCACCCACATGGGAGACCCGGTGGAAACTACTGGTTTCTGGCTTCAGATCGGCCCAGCTCCTGTTTGTATGTGTTTTTGTTTTGTTTTGTTTTGTTTTAGATTTATTTATTTATTTGAAAGTCAGAGTTACACAGAGAAAGGAGAGGCAGAGAGAGAGAGAGGTCTTCATCCGATGATTCACTCCCCAGCTTGCCGCAAAAGCCAGAGCTGCACCAATCCGGAGCCAGGAGGCAGGAGCTTCTTTCTGGCCTCCTATGTGGGTGCAGGGGCCCAAGGACTTGGGCCATCTTCTACCATTTTCCCAGGTCATAGCAGAGAGCTGGATGGAAAGTGGAGCAGCCGGGTCTCGAACCAGTGCCGAACCAGCGCTTCAGGCCAGGGTGTTAACCTACTGGGCCACAGCACCAACCCATGTGTTTGTTTTTTAAAAGACAACCCTTACTATGCCCAGGGGGCTGTTGCTGTGGTGTGGTGGGTGGGGCCACCACCTGCAGTGCCAGCATCCCCTGTGGGCACCAGTTCGGTCCTGGCTGTTCCACTTCTAATCCAGCTCTCTGCTATGGCCTGGGAAAGCAGTAAACGATGGCCCAAGTCCTTGGGCCCCTACACTCACGTGAGAGACACGGAGGAGGCTCCTGGCTCCTGGCTTTATATCGTTGCAGCTCTGGCCATTTTGGCCAATTGGGGAGTGAACCGGCGGATGGAGGACCGCTCTCTGCCTCTCCTTCTGTGTAACTCTGACTTTCAAATAAATGGATAAATCTATACTAGAAACACACACACAAAAAAAAACACTACCATCATGCCCAGGACATTTTCTGTGTTTTTCCTACTCTGGGAATAGAAGTTGATATCTACTGAGTTCTGAACCCACATCATGTTGCTATCTAGTTTGTGTGTAAGATACAGAGAGAAAAAAACGAACCTTTTGTATTATAGGATAATTTTGTTTTCTGCTGTATTTGAAGGATTCCCTAGGAAATAGGTGCCAACAAGTTTATATTTCTGATTCAGATTTTCAGTGATCTCAGTGCCTCTATCAGAAATGTAGTTGGATGTTAGTGATGTCACTGAAGGGGATTGATTGTCCCTTCAGAGTAATGGAGAAGGATCTTCCTCTATCTGTAAGGTTCTTTTTTATTATTTTTTTAAAGATTCATTTATTTACTTGAAAGGCAGAGTTATAGAGAGAGATAGAGACAGAGAGAGGTCTTCCATCCACTGGTTCACTCCCAAATGGCCACAATGGCTGGAGATGGGCTGATCCAAAGCCAGGAGCCAGGAGCTTCCTCCAGGTCTCCCACATGGGTGCAGGGACCCAAGGACTTGGGCCATCTTCCACCGCTTTCCCAAGAGCATTATCAGGGAGCTGGATAAGAAGTGTAGCAGCTGGGATGGGAACTGGTGCTATATGTGATGCTGGCCCCACAGTTGGCAGCTTAACCCACTTAGCCATGGTGCTGGCCCCTCCAAACAGTTCTAATGATCTAAATTCTATTCTGACACAGTCTTGTCCTGGCCTTAATACTTAAGTAGATCCATACATCTCCCAAGGCCTCTGGCTCCCACTCAGACTCAGGGATGATGATGTGGTCCACAGTCCTAGATGTTCCTTTTCTCTGGGAGTGTGCCTAAACTGAATAAATTTTCTTTCACATTTAGGTGTCAGAATGTTTCAGCTCTACCCAAAGGCTTTGGTGTTCAAGAACTGAAAATACAGCAGTCAGATTTACTGTTTGAACAGAGCCGCTACGCAGTGCAGGCAAGGACGACTGACAACCCAGGCCGACTTGTTCCTTGTGGGGCAGGTAAAGGATCCCGTTAGACTTACCCTGGAGCAACTTCTCTGACCAAGAGAGGCCCAGGAGGATTTGCATCCTCCCAGCCCAGGAAGGCAGTTTACCACGCAAGTGCTCGATAGTGTGGGCTTTGAGGGTGCTCAGCATGTCATCCTCTTGCAGCCTCAGTTTCTCTTCAGATTAGAAGAATATTTCTGATTGGGGTTATTGTGAAGTTTAAGAAATTCTATTTAGTGCATTTACTCTGTGTCCAGCATATACTACAGCTCAGTGATTGGTAGGTGCTATAATGATGGTAGTGAATCATGAACCTTTTTATATTGTACACTGGAGGCCAAGTGCCAAAGAAGCAGTCGCTATCTATGATGTCGTATCCAGCTCTCATAGGCCTGCAGAATCAGAGAAAACAAGTTTTTTTAAAATACTGATGGCCCTCAAGGAAACTGAACAGTTTTAATCCCGGAATCTTATCTTTTTGTAGCCATCAGCTGGAGCGCAGTTCCTGAGCAGCCATTGGATGTTACTGCCAATGGCTTCCCACAGGGAACCACAAAGAAGAGAATTGGAAGCCTTCAAGCCAGGTACAGCTGATTAGGGCAGAAGGGGTGGTGGCTGTGCACTTGCACTTTACCACTATCTAATCCCAGAACATTTTCACCCCGGAAGAAAAATGGATAGCAGTCACTGCCCACTCCTTTCTCCTCACAGTCTCCTGAAAAGCTGGAATTTACTTTCTACCTCCATGGATTTGTCTGTTCTGGGCAGTTCACATAAATGCAGTCATATCAAGTGTGGCCACTTGTGTCTGGCTTCATTCACTTAGCATGTTTTCATTGTTCATTCGTGTTGCAGGATGGACTAGTACTTTGTTCCTTTATGACTGAATAGTAGTATTGCATTGTATGTATATATTACACTTTGTCCACTCATTCACTGATGGGCATCTCACACATTTTGGCTATTATGAATAATACTATTATGAACATTTTGGACAAGTTTTTGTGTGGGTGTGTGAGGTTTTTCAAATGAGGAGACAGGACATGGGAATATCCATTCTAAGAGTGCGCCACTGGATAGCTTTGCATTCCCACTTTTATTTAGAGGGTACTAGCAAGTCTATAAGTTAGCAGGCAAGGTTTACATCAACTTAAGGATTTGGGAAAAGGACCTTGGTCTGGTGGTCTAACAAAGGGATTAGAGCTGCATTGTAAATCTTCGGAGACAGGCCCATTTAGATGCAAATTTACAAATTCCTGAAAACACTCGAGGTACCTTACCTAGACGTGTCCATTAGCCCCCTGCTGCTCCCGCTGCCACATTCCTTTGGGGCGAGTGTGCCCGGCGCTGGAAACTGCAGCCGTGCCTCCAATTCCAGGGTGAGTCCCCCTGAGAAGCACCCATGCAGCATCTTGACATTTATGGAGGTTTCATTCCTCTGGGGTACTGTGTATCTGGGAGTGGAATTGCTAGGTCATATGGTAACCATGTGTTTAACTTCGTAAGGAAATGTAGAACTGTTTTCCGTAGCAGCTGTACCATTTTACATGTCTGGGAGAATGAGAGTTCCATGTATGAGTTTGTTACCCTGCATCCTTTGCAGCATTTGTTATCATCTTTTTTATTGCAGTTCTTCTGATTGATGTGAAGTGTGAAGTGGTATGTGATGCTGGTTTTGATTTGCATTTGCCTAATGACTAATAGTGTTGGGCATCTTCTTATGTACTTTTATTTTACAGATTTACTTATTTTATTTGAAAGAATTACACAGAGGCAGAGAGAGAAAAAGAGAGGTTTTCCTCCGCTTGTTCACTCCTCAGATGGCTGCAACAGCTGGAGCTGTGCCAAACCAAAGACAGGAGCCAGGAGTTTCCTCTGGGTCTCCCACACTAGAACAGGGGCCCAAGCACTTGAGCCATCTTCCACTGCTTCCCCAGGCCGTAGCAGAGAGCTAGATCAGAAGAGGAGCATTCGGGACTCGAATTGGCACCCATTTGGGATGCTGGCACTGCAGGTGGCAGCTTCACCCATTACACCACAGAGCTGGTCACTGTGGGTAATTTTTTGATAGTATCTTTTAAAGCACAAAAGTTTTAAATCTTGATAGTCAAATTTATGATTGTTTTTCCTCTTGATACTTGTGCTTTTGGTGTCTTTTTAAAGAAACCATAGCCTAATCCAAAATCACAAAGATTTATTCTGTTTTCCTCTAACAGTTTTCTAGTTTTAGCTCTTATTTTTAGGACTGTGATCCATTTTTTTTTAAAAGATTTATTTATTTATTTGAAAATCAGAGTTACACAGAGAGAAGAGAGGCATAGAGAGAGGTCTTCTCTCCATTGGTTCACTCCCCAATTGGCCACAGCAGCCGGAGCTGCACAGATCCAAAGCCAGGAGCCAGGAGCTTCTTCCCAGTCTCCCATGTGGGTGCAGAAGCCCAAAGACTTGGGCCATCCTCCACTGCTTTCCTAGGCAGTGGCAGAGAGCTGGAAGGGAAGTGGAGCAGCCGTGTCTTGAACTGGCGCCCATATGGGATGCTGGCGCTTCAGGCCAGGGCATTAACCCATTGTGCCACAATGCTGGCCCCAGACTTTGATCCATTTTGAGTTAATCTTTCTGTGTGGTGTGAGGTAGAGATTCATCTTCACTCTTTCTTTGATGTATGGATAGTCCATTGTTTGAGCAACATTTTTTGGAAAGACTGTTGTTTACCCTGGGGAGATTTTGAGAAGAATTCTTTCTTGGGTTTTGCTCCACGTTTACAGCTGGTCCTCTTTACACTAGCATTCTCTACTCTTTCTTTTCCGTGCGCTTATACAAATATATTTTATAATTAAATCTTACAGATGGATTTGTTTTTGTTTCTTATTGACATGCTCTTTGGCCTGTCTCAAAACAAGAAAAAAATTCAATTTAGATGTCTTCAGCCTTTTTTTTTTTTTTTCTAAAGGTTTTCTTCTCACCTGCTGAGTGCTGGGGCTCAGGTAGGCTAGACACTAAAGCCTGCCAGCATCCTGGCAGCCAGGCTGTTGAATTGAGAACTATGTACTACATTGTTGGGTGTAAGGATTTTTGCATGCTTTCTCTCAAGGGTCTAGCTAGTGTTCACCGCTTTTTACTTTTCAGGAGACCAGCCCTCAGCCACAGACCACAGTGAACGAGCAGAGCAGGTCCCATGTTTCCTGCTGAGTTCTGCCTTTCGGCGGTGACAGCCTTGCCGCTTCTTCTGTGCCCCTGCCCAACCGACTGTGCCTTCAGTTTGCTGCTTTGCTCAGAACTGAGCTGCTCTTCTCTGCTGAGTGCATACCCTCTTAAAACTGCTTCAACTTCAACTGCCTGTGGCTCAAAGTGATCATCCATATTCCCAAAGCTGTTCTCTGGCCTGTTCCAGTATATCTGTGTTATCTGTATGATTAGAAGTGCCCATGTTCTAGCCCTGGCTCTGTCTCCCAGACAGATCCTTGAGTTGATGACCTGCAGTCGTTGACACATGGCTTTCTCTCCATTTAGAGAGCACATTTCCTACCAGGAGGAAGTGTGTTGTGGGAAGAGCAGAAGCTTTGGGGTTAAAGGGATCACTGTTTATCCTGGCTGCTTTTCTCCCCATCACATGAACTTGAGCAAATTACTCAACTTTTATGAGTTTCTGTTTCCTCAACTATAGAGTAAGGGTGACTGACAATATCTAGCACATGGTCACATTTTGAGAACTGAGCAATATACATGGTGCACCTAGCATGGTGCACGGTGTGAAAGAGACATCCCATTAAGACTGATTTCCCTTTCAGTTATCAAATTAAGCTCCTTTACGTGTGAAGGAATCAGAGTTACTCTTATTCTAAGACCAACAGCTGCTGGAGGGAAAATAGATTTTCTCCCTCACTGCTCATCCTTGAATGCTGGCATCATAGGGACATATTCTAAGACTTTTTTTTTTTTAAGATTTTTATTTATTTCTTTGAGAGGTGTAATTTCAGACAGACTGAGGGAGACAGAGTAAAGTCTTCCATTCTCTGGTTTACTCCCCAAATGGTCACAGCAGCTGGAACTAAGCAGATCCTAAGCCAGGGCCAGGAACTTCTGGGTCTCCCACATGGATGCAGAGGTCCAAGCAGTTGGGCCATCTTCCACTGCTTTCCCAGGCCACAAGCAGAGAACTAGATCAGAAGAGGAGCAGCCAGGACATGAACTGGTGCCCATATGGGATGTCGGCGTCTCTGGTGAAGGCATAGCCTTCTATACTACAGCACTGGCCCCAGACTTCTTTTTTTAAATAAATAGAGGTAGTAACAAGAACTGGTGAAAGGACCCTTATTTGTAAGATACTTTATTTTACTCTCCCTCTTTTTTTTTTTTTTTTTTTTTTTTTTGACAGAGTGGACAGTGAGAGAGAGAGAGAGACAGAGAGAAAGGTCTTCCATTGCCGTTGGTTCACCCTCCAATGGCCGCCGCGGCCGGCGCGCTGCGGCCGGCGCACTGCGCTGATCCGATGGCAGGAGCCAGGAGCCAGGTGCTTTTCCTGGTCTCCCATGGGGTGCAGGGCCCAAGCACCTGGGCCATCCTCCACTGCACTCCCTGGCCACAGCAGAGAGCTGGCCTGGAAGAGGGGCAACCGGGACAGAATCCGGCACCCTGACCGGGACTAGAACCTGGTGTGCCGGCGCCGCTAGGCGGAGGATTAGCCTAGTGAGGAAACTGTCTTTTACCTGAAGAGACAAATCCTCTTCCCATGTCAGTCAAGTTCTTACAGTATGCTGGATAGACCATTACAAGGCTCATTGATGGGGGCCGGCACTGTGGTGTAGCAGGTGGGGCCACCGCCTGCAGTGTCAGCATCCCATATGGGCACTGGTTCTATGGTTCTGTGGCCTGGGAAAGCAGTAGAAGATGACCCAAGTCCTTGGGCCCCTGCACCCACGTGGGAGACCTGGAAGAAGCTCCTGGCTCCTGGTTTTGGATCAGCGCAGCTCTGGCCATTGCAACCATCTTGGGGGTGAACCAGTGGATGGAAGACCTTTCTCTCTGTCTCTACCTCTCTCTGTAACTCTTTCAAATCAATAAAATAAATCTTAAAAAAAAAAAAACAAACGCTCATTGAAATATAAATGAAAAGGGTGAGGGATTTAAAAAAAATCTAAAAGTGTCTACATGTTAGTAAAGACATGGAAAACTTGAAAATATCAATATGATATTTTTAAATTTTTAAGAATTATATATGTGTATGTCTCTTATCTTTCTGGTGTACCTGTAATGACCCAATGCATGATGATATGTAAAGACTTCTGTATGCAATGCAAACTTCCTGACAGACAAGCTTATTTTATTTTCTAATCTTTGAAAAAATGAAAACTATATTCATTTTATTGCAGTCTGCATGTTTTTAAGTGAACACTTGTGTTGAATCTAGGAATCATACTTATGTGTGAGTTTCTAGGCCATCTATTTTTTCCCTTTGTTCTGTTTATCCCTGTACTAGAACCACACTCTTAGCCTATTAGGGCAATTCCCCCTGCAGTGCCTTCAGGAGTATCTTGGCTATTCTTGGATTTTAAATGTAAAGATCAGTTTGAGGAGAGTTTACATC